ATCTTGATATTGTAATTTTAAAAATGTATAATTGATATTTTGTAATAGGAAGAAAAGGTCTAAAGGAGCAGGGGAAGTGGGAGGGGTAGGGGAAAGGAAAAAAGGGGAAAAGAAAAAATATGAGAAAAGGAAAAAAATGGAAACAAAGTCTTTGAAAATAGGGAAGGGTGGAGGGGGTGAAGAGAGGGCAACAGAAGGGGAAAAAAAAATAAGAACCAAGATACTCACGTAATGGTACTGTATTTTATACCTAAAATGTACCAATAAACTTAATGGGAAAAAAATAACACAGAAGGGCAATATTGGATTCTATCTCCAAGTACTTGGTACAGCCACTGCCTGTGTTTAAACCCACCCTTTGACCACTGATTTTCACCAGGTCAGTAAATTCCACAGAGGAAGCAGATATTAAAGAGAAAACTGAACTATCATAACTAAAGCTGGTATCCTGGCCAGCTTCAGAACTCCATGGTACTTTCTCCTGGGGCCAAGTTAAAGACCTATGTCCCATTTTGAGAGGCACAGAATCTTTGAATTTAAAAGGAATTAACTTTTCTTCCACTCCCAGCAGCCAAATACTCGACAATATTTTCTAAAATCAAGCCACAGGTGTTGGTTAAAACTTGTGTCACCAGTTTTGCTATTTTTTAACCAGTGAATGTCATGCCTGGGGTTATGGTGCCTTTTCTATGTTCTATGGAAGATGTCCAATTATTCAACTGCAAAGAGGACTACTCAAGACAGGCTTTTCTGGAAGGCACCAATAGTTACACAGAGATAGTAATTACTGATAACTGGACAGGATTTGACTCATGGACTAGGTTTTTTAGTAAAAAGGAGGCTACTCCATTCCAACATGTTTACAGAAATCTAATGTCTTTTTTTCCAGCCAAATCTCCCATAAGCATCCCATTAACTCCAAACAGGACAGGATTCTGATGGCACAGGAAAGCACCTCCTCTAGAAAAACAAACTGCTTAAGTCAGCCAAGCCTCCCGCACCGTCTCTTCAATCAGCATTACTCTAAAACTAATTTGCACCATTTAAGGAGGAGAAACTCAAAGGTGGCCCCACCCCAGTGGATCTGGAAGCCCCAAAGGGCCCCGGGCAACAGACCTGAAGGGTCGGGAACAGTTCCCTAAATGTCAGCCAGGTTGGAAAGGACAGACTTCTACAAGCACTCACAGATCTCCAAAAAGTATCAAAGCCCCCTAACGCGTAGGTCCTCTGGGGAAGGCTGCTTTCTACCCAGGGCCAGAGCCACATCAGGCCACCGTGGTCCTTGGGATCAAAATCTAGCTACACACATTAATAAATAATATAAGTGGAACACCAGAGCCAAGAGTCACCTTCATTCATTACCAATTGGAAGACCGAGAAGCTCAGACACCAAAGAGATGGATTACAGGAGAGGAAAACAGGCATGCCCACAGACCCCCATAAAGAATTCCTGACCCTCTGCTCCAGACGTTTCTCACCATTTACACGGGCGCGCGCGCGCGCCAGGCTCACCCTATTCTTCACTATATCTCACATCACCTTCGCCACACACTTTCTCACCTCCAAATCTTCACCACCTAGGACTGGCCGTCTCCACTCCCCAATGACCCACACTCTTCGACTCCAGACCCCCATGAAGCAAACCCACTCACCCTTAAGACCCACGACAACTCGCGTTCCCCCCGTCGGGGCACAGCCGCTCACACTTGCCATCTGATACAACCTTCAGGACCCACGCTGCTCATTCCGACCCCCACGAGGTACACGCGCTCACCTCCAGATTCCAGACACAAGCTCTCCCCTCTTCCACCTCCACACACCTGCACACACAGAATCCTCTCCACACCCCTACCCCAAGTGACAGCGCCTCGAGGAGCAGGCAGGGCAACACTCACAGGCTCCGTGTCCAGGCGGGCAGGTCCCCAGGCACTGCGGTCAGCCCGCGCCCGGCGCAGTCCAGCGCGTCCCTGGCGCAAGTGCAGGCGGCCGCGCAGGGGGGCCGCGTGCCGGGCTCAGCAGTCTCCGTCTCCGGCCCAAGCAGCAGCAGCAGCAGCCAGAGCAGGAGTAGGCAGGGCGCGCGGTGCGGGGCCCCAGGCGCTTCCCCGGCCGGCCGCGCCATCTTGTCTGGAGCGCGCCGCGAACTCCGGCGCGGGATCTGCGAGGTCCCAGGCGCGCCCGCGGGTCTCCGCGCCGCGCTAGGTTGCGCGACGGGGCATAACCGCCGGCGCAAGATCCTTCCACGGCCGCGGGTTCCCGGCCGCTGCGAAGCTCCAGGAGGAGGCCGCGAACTCCTCGCCCATACGGGCCGGGCGGCCCGCGCTCGCCGCGAACTCCGCGGACCTGGGCAGAGGAGCTCGGCCGCACTCTTCGTCCTCCCGCCGCGCTCTGGTCCGCTGCGGAGCTCTGGTCCGCTGCGGAGCTCTGGTCCGCTGCGGAGCTCTGGTCCGCTGCGGAGCTCTGGTCCGCTGCGGAGCTCT